TTTATAATAGCATCAGTTGAAGTTGTTGCAAGGACACTGTGTTGTATTTATAATGGCATCAGTTGAAGTTGTTGCAAGGACACTGTGTTGTATTTATAATAGCATTAGTTAAAGTTGTTGCAAGGACACTGTGTTGTGAGTATTTATAATCATAACTATCATTTTAAGAAACTATTAAAGTGAAACAGATGAATAGATATATTTTCCAAAAATATGAGAAACATTATTTCTAGGCTTCAATTGTTAAACTAGACTTAAAAAATGAAATTAAGATAGTTAACTGGAGCAGGTAATATTAGACAAACCTGGAAATTTTCTGTAGTGAGGAATGGATTGAATTGAATGCTACTTGTGGTGGAACTTTATTCATTGTTAAATTGATTGAGAGGTCATTTCCTCTCAATAGAGAATGCATGACAAAAACAATTGAAAGTAAACGTGTATTGGTTCAAATGGGACGAAGCTCTGCTTCAAAGAGTCACTTTTTGGTTAAATATGCTCACTGCACATGTTTCTTGATATATTTATTTTAAAAAATATTATGATGATATGTTAATGCTTATAATTTATGGTTGAGCAGTTCTTTGTAAACAAAAATAAAAGATTAATTTCATTATTACTTATTCCACGTACTTTCTGAAGGCCGTACTTGTTGCTAATAGCAATATTATAACTTGTATAATTATAGTATGTATTATAGAGTCTAGTTTTATATAGAAAGTAATTTTATGAAATCCAAACTTACAGATGCAGCAATGATTTTTGAGTGTAAATTCTGTTAAAGACATTTTGATTTATTGGTAATTAAATACTTCTAATAGTTGAGTATTCTGTTTAATATATTTATCTCTCTGATTTGTTTCCTTGATGATGGTTTACATAGTGATTTGACTTGTATCTCAAGAACACGTGAGTTTGTTATACTTTCTGTGAGTTATTAATTTTGTTTATTAAATATATTAGTGCTGCCAACATCGTATTGTAAATGTTGATTCTTACCAGAAACCAGTATGGCTATGTAACATCCTTTTAGGGATACTATTAAATAGCTATTCCAGTTACAGTATTTGGGTAGTCGGAAGTCAGTGTTTCTAATAAGGATCCAAAGACGGAAGGGAAAAAAAAACGATGCTTCTAAAACTTAAACAAGAGCCAAACTTTGGCGGTTAAAAGAGACAAGACGAAATGTCTGTGTTTCCAAGAATCACGATGGAAACTCAATGATAATGTATTTTATGGATCAGAGAATAATTCAAATGTGTTAATGTATGGTGATCGAATAGCGTTCTATATTCATATTTGTCTGGTGTGACTTTATTTGCAGAATAACATTTTTAATCGTCGTGTAGAAGCTTCATAACCACCAAACAAGACACGCAAGTCAAATCTAACAAATGTTGACGAAATAGTTAATAGCTGTCGATATGGTACGCGTGCATTACATGAAACCGTATTTTCAGTTCGCATATCTTAGAATATCAGTAAAAAATTATATAACAAGTAAATATTGGTATTAATAGTTTTTAAGGTTACATTTCAATGTAAGTAACAACTTTTGTCCAGATGGCGGACAGTAAAATTGGAGACGTAAGGTAAAAGATAGACTTAAATGAACTTAACGTTAACAACAAGCATAGTAACTAGTTACAGGTATTTATGCTACATAACTGGCTTAAAAAAACGTGTGGTTCTTTAGTCAAGTTGGTACAGTGAAACTAGTGACTCTTTTTGTACCTTAAAAATATTTAACTTTTGGCGAGAGTTCTTATTTTAGAAAATGCATAATTAGTTAAATAAAGGTCACCAGTGCTTAAATCGAGTTTTACGGATATTTGTTTTTAAGTTTTGAGTTCAACCCTGTTTCATGTAGTTTGATTTATTAGTGCAGCAGATATGTCAAAAAAGTTTGAGTTTTAACATACAAACATGAAACTTGGCATAGATGTAGACCATGGCCCAACTAATATTTTCAGAAGTGGAGCCACCGAGAAAAGGTCTTGTGTCGTGTCTGGGCTGCCATTTTAAATATCTGGTGTAGTGAAAATATGTTCAACAGATGGAATTAGTGTTGTGCCAATGTTATTCCTATTTGTTATAATGTCAATTTTATGTATTGTTTTATAATTTTACTTTTGTGAGTTCAAAAATTAAGTTAGCAGCCCTGGCGGCCATTTAAAAAATGGCTGCCAAACATTTTCGACTTATAAAATTTTGCATAATGTTGTAATTAAATGAACTTTGAATAGGTCATTTATCGGATTGAAACAAGAGGTAAGTGTAGAAATTATTAACAAAACGTAGTGATGCAAAAGATCAAATTGCTGGAGTCGGCAAACCTTCCCCTGTACGTAGACTACCTGACAAAGTTTGAACCATACCAACTATGCGAGATAGTTGCCAGTCCACATACGAGACATGGTCAGTCTGTGCAATATCCACCTAGAGATGGCTGCTAAATTCGGTAACGAACAGTTCACAAGACAAGACGGGCGATCTCAGCCATGACCATTGATCAGGCTCATGGGCAAAATAATGCTGCTGTGAAGAGTGACGGTGGAGCTGT